AATGTAAGAGGAGGAGACGAGCTTCAAGCGAGGCTTTACGTCGCAGCACGATAGAGAGCTATTTTTGGTGGATTGTAAAACTGCGCTCTTATCGCCTTTGCTTTGCATTCGAAGTAGTTGAACCTTTTTGTTCGATTGTACGTTTACAAATATATAAATCTCTGTACCAAGTTGGAAACCGTCTACAAAATGTAAGCTTGCTTTTAAGTCATGCTTAGGTGTTAGGCCAGATGCAATCTCCGAGAATATTTCACCGTCCTGTGCATGCATCGTGTTTCGCAGAGTTATTGTGTTATTGAAGTTGGTCAAACAGTTCCCGACATTTTCGTTGGTCTCTATCACCCCAGACATTAGATACGCGCCGCTCCCCAACTCCACCAGAAAGCAGAGAGAAGACGCGTTATAATTAAATGGAGTCATGGAGCTGTTTTCTGCATATATTAATTTAGAAACATTGTTTAAATCAAGAACCTCGCAATATCCACAGTTTCTCGTGACACAAGTGACTAAGGTGTTAATTCTTCCAAACACCACTAAAACCTTCACTCTGCCTGGCTCCGACCCGGAGAGGTCTCTGGTTTCCTCCACCGTTAAGTTGCGGTTAATTTGGTAGAGCTGAGCTCCGGCGGCGACGTAGATGCTCCTTTTCCATACAGCGAGGTTATCGATCTGTTTATCAAACGTATGATTGTAGTCACAACGGCTGAGGCCGATGAAAAAAATAAAGATGATTGTCGTCCTCATGCTTCAGTTACAGGATAAACTGCTTTACAGACCGCTGTCAGATGCCTCCATTCGGCGAGTTTCTCAAACTTCCTTTTCTGTCACTGCGCTCCGCGTCTCTTTATTGTCAAGCGGGAGGACCTTGTTACGCGGCTGTGTGTATTAATATTAACATACTCGGCTGACGAGGAAACGTCAAAAATTAATGACAGTAATAAAACGAAAAGAAATGGAATAGCAACCCACAACAAGAAGTCAGAAAAAGTATGCAAGTAAATTATGCCATCTTAAATGTGGACTTAACACTAACAGCAAACTTGAATATTAATATAAAGAATAATGTTAAGTGCAGAATTTTATTTCCAATATGAACTGTTAATAATAAGGCTGCGCCGTAACACCGTTGCATTAGGTAAGTGTCGCTTCATTTGGACCCCTATATTTAATGGAAGTGTGTTATTTTTATTATTACAATTATTATTTTATTAATATCTATTTTAACTCATGTAATGACATATGTTAAAGAACTTTAGCAGTCGGTAATTTCATTTCAGTAGGTGTTTTTTTAATCTTGGTGACACTGATGTACGTTGGATACGCCCTGAACCACTAGTGATGCGGCAGCGGCCCCTAGCGACTGCAAGTTATTTTACCCATCGCTAGGGGCCGCTGCTGCATCACTAGTGGTTCAAAGCATATCCGACATACACCAGTGTCTCGTTCGAGCTACGTGTGTGTGTGTGTAAAATAATAATTGTAATAATAAATATACAACAGTACATATTCCTTATGTATCGGGGTCCAAATGAAGCGCTATTTACCTAATGGAATGGTGCTATTATTAACAGCACCTATTGGAAATACAATTCTACACTTTATTGTTCTTTACATTAATACTCAGTTTGCTGTCAATGCTGTTAATTCCACATCTAAAACGACATAATCTACTTGAATACTTCTACTGACTGTTATTGTGGGTTGCCATTCCTTTTTTCTTCTTTTTATTTTATCACTGTCATTATTTTTTGATGTTTCCTCGTCGGCCGAGCATGTTAATATTAATAGACACCGCCGCGTAACAAGGTCCTCCCGCTTGACAATAAAGGGACGCGGAACGCAGTGACAGAAAAGGAAGTTTCAGAAACTCGCCGAATGGAGGCATCTGACAGCGGTCTGTAAAGCAGTTTATCCTAAAACTGAAGCATGAGGACGGCTATCATCTTTATTTTTTTCATCGGCCTCAGCCGTTGTGACTACAATCATACGTTTGATAAACAGATCGATAACCTCGCTGTATGGAAAAGGAGCATCTACGTCGCCGCCGGAGCTCAGCTCTACCAAAT